GGGCCACATTTGGCCCAAGCCTGCTCTAGAACCGAGCCCGGAAGTAGGAGGAAGAGGGGGAGCCGGGGAGCAGTGACCCACTGCCCCCTCGCCCCCCCAGCCCCCCTCAAACGCCCCCAATCTGGACGTTCTCCACCTGGATGTTCTCGAAGTGGACGCCCCCGTCGGTCGGGTAGATCTCGATGGTCTCCAGCACGGGGATGGTCTCCATGATAGTCACGGTGTTGCCATACACCTGCTCGCCCGGTCCCGAGGGGGGAGTGGCGGTCGTGGTGGTGGATGTGGCCGCTGCAGCTGCCGCCGCTGCTGCCGCCGCTATGGCCTCATCCATGACCTCCTTCTCATGCTGCAGGCGCTGCTGCTGGTGGAGCTTGCGGTGCTTCCAGAGGTTGGAGAAGGAGCGGTAGGCCTTCCCGCAGTCGTCGCAGTTGTAGGGCCGCTCGCCGGTGTGGATGCGCTTGTGCTCAGCCAGGCGCACGGCGATGGTGAAGGCCTTGCCGCACTCCCCGCACTTGAAGGGCTTCTCCCCGGTGTGCAGGCGCTGGTGGTCCTTGAGGTGGGTGGACTGCCGGAAGGCCTTGCCGCAGTCCAGGCAGGGGTAGGGGCGCTCCCCGGTGTGGATGCGGCGGTGCACCTGCAGCGAGGTCTCCGTACTAAAGAGCTTCTTGCAGTCGCCGCACTCGTAGGCCTTGGAGGGGGCCCGGCGGGGCCGCGGAGGAGGGGGTGGTGGGGCGGGCGGCTCCGGGGGCCCCTCCTGCCCTGGTGGGACCGCTCCGGGGGGCACGCCGAGGTCGCCGTGGAGGCGCTCGTGGGCCCGCAGCTGCGCGGCGGAGCCCACTTTCTTGCTGCAGACGGAGCACTCGAAGTGGCGGCTCATCTTGCCACACTTGTGTTCCCGCAGCTGCTCGGCGGAGACGAAGGCGGCCCCACAGCCGGAGGTGCAGCGGTGGGGCTGCTGGCCGGTGTGGCTGAGCTGGTGGACCTCCAGCAGCCGGCGGAGCAGGAAGGAGCGGCCGCAGGTCTGGCACTTGTAGGGGTACTCGCCCGTGTGGTGGTAGCGGTGCATGAGTAGGCGGTAGGGCCGGTGGAAGACGCTGCCGCACTCCTGGCACTTGTAAGGGTAGAGGCGGTTGTGCACCAGGAGGTGCTGCTGGAGGGTGGAGCTCTGGGTGAAGCACTTCTGGCAGATCTCGCAGCGGTAGGGCCGCTCGCCCGTGTGCGTCAGCCGGTGGCGCTGCAGGTTGGCCGGGGAGTTGAAGCTCTTGCTGCATTCCTTGCAATGGAAGGGCCGCTCCCCGGTGTGGGTCAGCAGGTGGTTGCGCATGTGCGACTTCTTCTTGAACATCTTCCCGCAGGTCGGGCACTTGTGCCGCCGCTCCATCTTGTGGGCAAAGCGCTGGTGGCGCGAGAGCTGGTTCTGCTTGGGGAAGGTCTTGTCGCACATCTGGCAGGGGAACTCCCCCGGCCCCTGGGCCCCGCCGCCCCTCACAGAGAGGGCCACGTCCCTCACTGAGCAGATGAGGGCCACTGGGACCACCTCGTCCTCCTCCTGCTGCTGCTCCGGGACCTCCATCGGAGACGCCTCCCCTTCCCCGTGCTCTTCTTCCTCCTCCTCCTCCTCCTCCAACGGCTGGTCCTCAGGGGGAGAGCTGGGCGTGTTGGGGGCCTCACCAGAGCTGTGGGAGCGCCGGTGGTAGAGGAACTTGGTCATGTTGATGAAGGTCTTCCCACAGGTGCAGCGGTAGAGCGGGTTGGAAGAGTGGGTGCGCCGGTGGGCAAGGAGCACAGCCTCCGTGCCAAAGCCCAGGCCGCAGTCCACACACAGGAAGCGCGACTCGCCGCTGTGCTCCTCGCGGTGCTTCTCCAGGGCGCCCGGTGAAGGCAGGACCTTGGCGCAAAGTGGGCACTTGAAGGCACCCTGTTGGTGGCTGCGCATGTGCAGCTGGAGCTTGTGGGCCGAGGGGCAGAGCTGGTTGCACTCCACGCACAGGAGTGCTTTGGAGGCCGGCTTTGTGGCTTTACGGGGCGGCGGGGGCAGTGGCTGCTCCCCAGAGGTGTTCTTGAGCTCGTAGCTGTGGTCTGAGGCTGTGACGCTGGAGGAGGCTGCAGCCACTACCCCGTTGTATCCCGCTGTCGCCGAGGCCGGGGTCTGCTTCGCCTCCGCCACTGTTGGCAAGGAAGCCAGGGTCTCTCTGACCTGGGGCCCCGGGGGCGCCTGGATGACGTGGTGGGTGGCCTGGTGCTCCACGAACTCCGCGGTAGACTGGAAGAGCTGAAGGCAGTCGCCACACTCGTAGATGAGGAGCTGCACGGTGCCCCCCAGGGCGGCCCCCTCCTCAGGCTTCCGGTAGGAGTGCTCCAAACTGACGAGGGCCCGGCTCTGGGGTGGGTGGGCCGGGGGCGGTGGCTCGAGGAGCTTGCGGTGGCTCTGGCGGTGGGCGAGCCAGACGTCCTGGCTGGCGAAGAGGGCCTTGCACTCGGTGCACTCGTAGTGGATCTGGCTGGAGCTCACCAGCGCCTTGGCCAGGGGTTCCGACTCCTGGGCCGCCATCTTGAAGTGCATCTCCTGGTGCTCCAGCAGCTGGGCCGGGGAGAGCAGGATCTGCCCGCACTCCAGGCACTGGTACTGGCTCTCCTGGACGGCCAGGGTCTGGAACACGGCGCCCTCGCCCCCCGCCACCAGCCCGGCCTCCGCCAGGCCCACCACCTCGTACTGCTGCGGCTGGTGGTGCTGCTGCGGCTGCTCTGGGGCGCAGAGGTGGGTCTCCTGGTGCACCACGGCCTCCTCCAGGCTGCCAAACTGCTGGTTGCACTCCGAACAGACATAGTGGTGCTCCACGTACAGGAGCGTCTCCTCGGGGGACTCCGCCATGGCAGGGAGGGCGCCCCGGCTGCTGGAAACAAGAAAGAGAAGACGTGAATGTAGACGGTTTACCAAATTGGCTGTTTTACTGAGCTTTTAAGAAAACATTACCAGGTCTCTTGAGAATTTTGCTTTCTCCCAGTATATACCCAGTGAACTACTGTGTGTCTCCCCCTCCCTTCTCTCCTGTATTGCCAGATACACACACACGCATGCGCGCACACCCACACACAATCTCTCTTTGCATGGTGGGATGGAATGGAGGCTAGTCAGGCTGCTTTCGTGTTCTCTATTAGAAAAGATAATTGGGAGGAACATAATCTAATCTCGCTCCGGTTGCCTGCACAATTCCACCGTCAGCTTCGGAAGAGAGAGCGACAGGACGCAAGATGGACCTGTCCTTGCAGAGACCCAGGGGGAAACGGATTTGGAAGCGGACAGTGTTCATCGGCCAGTCTTTTGGAAAAATAATTACTGAAAAATGTTGTTAAAAAATATTGAAAAGAGTTGTAATTAATCTAAGTTCTGCTACATCAATGAATAGAAGCCACCCCCATTCTAGCTTTCTCTCTGTCTTTTATGGGTATACATGTGCCTTTAAGTTTTCAGTCAACTTATGCCAACTCTAAGAATTTCACAGCTGTTTCCTCAACAAGCTATTTTGCCAACTTCGTCCTCTACAATACTGGTTCCCAGCCTTTGCTCCTCCAGGTGTTTTGGGCTTCAACTCCCACAATTCCAATTGACTGAGATGTGTGGGAGTTGAAGTCCAAAAGAACCAGAGGACTAAAGGCTGGGAATCACTGCTCTAAAATATGCCCTCCGTGCATTTGTCATTGAGACACCTGTCAACTGATGAATTATGACCCTATGAATTCCTTAGGATCTTTAAAAGCAAGGAGTCTTTCAATAATAATAATAATAAACCTTTATTTATACCCCGCTACCATCTCCCGGAGGACTCGATGCGGCTTACAAGAGGCCAAGCCCGATTACATCAATAAAACAACACAGCAATACAGACAATACATAAACTCATAAACAAAGCAATAAACAATAACAATAACACCACGACGCATTAAAAACCTATGGCAGGGCCAAATGTAATAATTAAAATTTTAAAATACTGGGCATGACAAGGTGACATATGACTAGGATGGGTATTTGGAGAGAAATGGGGCGAGCAGACAATCCTAGATCATTAGTAAAGTGCGATTAGGGACATGTTGCTTAGATGTCCATCAAGATGGTCCCCCCTGAAATGGAGTCCACGGACCTGGGATTTGTTGACAGACTCCCATCCAAATATTAACCAGGACTGATCCTGTTTAGCTTCAGAGAGTCCATGGGATCTGGGGCCTTGAGAGTATTACTGCTTACTCTGTTTACTCACTCACAAACACACAGGAGGGAATGCGCTTTCACAATGGGCCTTGTATAATAGTAATAATAATAATAATAATAATAATAATTTGGCACAAACCAGTCAAGGTGGTCCCAGTGGTGATCGGCACACTGGGTGCAGTGCCTAAAGACCTTGGCCTGCACTTAAACACAATTGGCACTGACAAGATTACCATCTGCCAGCTGCAAAAGGCCACCTTACTGGGATCTGCACGCATTATTTGCCGATACATCACACAGTCCTAGGCACTTGGGAAGGGTCCAACGTGTGATACAATTCAACAACCAGCAGAGTGTCTGCTGTGGACTCATCTTGTTGTGTTTCAAATAATAATAATAATAATAATAATAATAATAATAATAATAATAATAAATCACACAGTCCTAGACACTTGGGAAGTGTCTGACGTGTGATCCAATACAACAGCCAGCAGAGTGTCTGCTGTGGACTCATCTTGTTGTGTTTCAATAATAATAATAATAATAATAATAAATCACACAGTCCTAGACACTTGGGAAGGGTCCGACGTGTGATCCAATATAACAGCCAGCAGAGTGTCTGCTGTGGACTCATCTTGTTGTATTTCAAATAATAATAATAATAATAATAATAAATTACACAATCCTAGACACTTGGGAAGTGTCCAACGTGTGATCCAATACAACACCCAGCAGAGTGACCTTGTCTGCTGTGGACTCATCTTGTTGTGTTTCTAATAATAATAATAATAATAATAATAATAATAATAATAATAATACAACAGCTACTACTACTACTACTACTACTACTCTAATCTTATATCCCACCACCAGTTCCTGAAGGGACTCGGGGCAGCTTACAGACGGCACAAAGTGCCTAAAAACAAAACATATGAATGAGCACAATATAAATTACGATAAAACACATGCACGTATAAAAGCATCAACTCAGACTCAATTTCAATCTCTGGTATGACATATTGAGCAATTTAAAATGAAGAAAGAAACCAGTTTTCAAGCCTAATTTAGAGTATTTTAAGAAAAATGGTCCTTCTACTGAGAGGGGGTGCAGGCGTCTGTGCAATTCGGCTGCACGAGCTTAAATGTTCATCATAAAGGCAGGTGATGACCCACTCTTGCAAACTTAGAAGACCTGACTCCTGGATTGGTCGTTTTCCCCCATTACACTATTTAGCAAAAATTGAAAAATCTCCTGTTCCTGGTTTGAAAGTGTTTATTTATTTGCTATACTTGTATACCGCTGTTTCTCAGCCTAGATGGCGACTCAACGTGGTTTACAACAGAATACAACAATCGACAGTATACAGTTCAAAAGCATAAAAACTTAATACACAATACATATTTCCTGTCTAACTGTGCAGCCCTTACTTTGAAAGTAGTTGTTCTACTCCAGAAACTTTTTTGTTTTTGTGGCTGCCACAAACCGGGTTGCATTGGTTATAATAATAATAATAATAATCCTTTATTTATACCCCGCTAACATCTCCCGAAGGACTCGGTGCAGCTTACAAGAGGCCGAGGCCCAACACATCAATAAAACAACAGCATAACAAATACAACAATAAATAAACTCATAAAAAAGCAATAAACATTAAAACAATAGCAATAAACATTAGACAATAACACCATGACACATTTAAAACTAAGGCCGGGCCAAATGTAATGATTAAAATTTTAAAATGCTGAACATGACAGGTGAGATGGATAGGTTTTTGGAGATAAGTGCATGTGCAGACAATCTTAAATCTCTAGTAAAGTGCATTTGGGACATGATGCTGGGAGTTTCCTATTCTGGAAAGGCGCACTGGAACAGCCACGTCTTCAAGCTCTTCCTAAAGACTGCCAACGTTGGGGCTTGTCTGATGTCCTTGGGGAGAGAGTTCCAGAGTCGGGGGGCACCACAGAGAAGGCCCTGTCCCTCGTCCCAACTAGACACAGCTGTGATGCAGGTGGGATCGTGAGCAGGGCCTCTCCAGATGATCGGAGAGATTGCGTGGGTTCATATACGGAGATGCGGTCATGCATCTGGTATGGTTGAGACATTCATTGACAAACCAGCACGAAATGTGCTTCTGCAGCAGGATGGATGTCCGTCCCTTCCTCCCTCCCTCCAAGTTTTGCCAGTTTAATAAACATTTCCCAAGTTTTTATATTTGAACCAATTAGGAAATGACATTGATCACCCAGGAACAAAAACCATAGGGTGACATAGTGTTATCAAAGCAGGCATTCCATTCTGGTTTCGCTTCCAATCAGGTTACGTTAAGGAGAAAGAGGCCACTGGTTTCCCAAAAGCCTATGAAGAGTCCTTCTTGTTCCTGCTTGGGGCTGACCCTCTCCCTGCGCTCCCTCCATCTTTAGGGCAGCCGGGCAGCCGTTGCATTTGGCCCAGCCCACTGTGTTCAACTTTTATTATTTTACCTCATACCACATGCTTACCCGATCATATTATTTTATAATTGTTTGCATTTCATTTGATGTTGTTATCTGTATATGTATTCTACTTGGTTTTATTGTAATATCCTGTGTTTATCCTATAGTATTATTTTGTTATTGTTTGCATTTAATTTGATGTTATTATTTTTGTATGCATTTTACTTTGCCTTATTGTAATTTTTGGGCTTGGCCCCATGTTAGCCGTCCCAAGTCCCCTTGGAGAGATGGCAGCAGGGTATAACTAAAGTTTATCATTATTATTTTACTGACACAAAACCCAGTATGTCACAGCAAATGAGATCTATATACTGGATTTCGTACCACAAAATCACAAGTTGAACACTGCTCAATGATTATTATTGTATTATACTAGCCGTCCCCTGCCGCACGTTGCTGTGGCCCAGTCTGTGTATATGTTTTTTGTGTGTATATGTGTGTGTATGTATACTTGTATATATGTTGTTATGGGTTTTTTTTTACTTTTTAAGTCTCTTCTGCTGTGTTTTTCAGTGTTTTTATGAGTGATGGTCACTCGTTGGCCTGATTGGTTATTGTGACCAAATGTGGTGTCAATTTGTCCAATGGTTTTTTAGTTATGCTAATCCCACAAACGAACATTACATTTTTGTGACACTGTGTCATTGTTTTTTATTGTTCTAATCCTTTGCTTGATGTTTTTATTTGCTTATGACTTTTATTGTGTATGTGTATGTTATTGTTTGTTGGCGGCCTTGGCCTTTGTAAGCCGCATCGAGTCCTTCGGGAGATTTTGCGGGGTATAAATAAAGTTAAAAATAATAATAATAACAATTTTATTTATATACTAGCTGGTCCCCTGCCACACGTTGCTGTGGCCCACATGGAGGTTCTGTGTGGGAGGTTTGGCCCAATTCTATCGTTGGTGGGGTTCAGAATGCTCTGTGATTGTAGGTGAACTATAAATCCCAGCAACTACAACTCCCAAATGTCAAGATTCTATTTTCCCCAAACTCCACCAGTGTTCATATTTGGACATATTGAGTATTCATGTAGAGTTTGGTCCAGATCCATCATTGTTTGAGTCCACAGTGCTCTCTGGATGTAGGTGAACTACAACTCCCAAACTCAAGGTCAATGCCCACCAAACCCTTCCAGTATTTTCTGTTGGTCATGGGAGTTCTGTGTGCCAAGTTTGGTTCAATTCCATCGTTGGTGGGTTTCAGAATGCTCTTTGATTGTAGGTGAATTATAAATCCCACCAACTACAACTCCCAAATGGCAAAATCAATTTTTTTGAGTGAAGGACATACATTGGTTTGTTAGGTGTCTTGTGTCCAAATTTGGTGTCAATTCGTCCAGTGGTTTTTGAGTTCTGTTAATCCCACAAATGAACGTTAGGTTTTTATTTATATAGATAATATTATATTAATAATATTTATTATTATTATTATTATTTATATAGATGATATTATATTATTATTATTATTATTATTATTATTATTTGAAACACAATGAGTCTACAGCAGACAAGATCACTCTGCTGGCTGCAGAATAATAATAATTATTATTATTATTATTATTATTTATATAGATGATATTATATTATTATTATTATTATTATTATTATTATTTGAAACACAATGAGTCTACAGCAGACAAGATCACTCTGATGGCTGTTGAATAATAATAATAATAATAATAATAATAATAATAATAATAATAATACATTTTTATTTATATAGATAGGAGCCCCCGGTGGCACAGTGGGTTAAACCCCTGTGCCGGCAGGACTGAAGACGACAGGTCGCAGGTTCAAATCCGGGGAGAGGCAGCTGAGCTCCTTCTATCAGCTCCAGCTCCTCATGCGGGGACATGAGAGAAGCCTCCCACAAGGATGATAAAAACATCAAATATTCCGGGTGTCCCCTGGGCAACGTCCTTGCAGACAGGCCAATTCTCTCACACCAGAAGCGACTTGCAGTTTCTCAAGTCGCTCCTAACACGACAAAAAAAATTATATAGATTATATTATATTAATAATATTTATTATTATTATTATTTGAAACACAATGAGTCTACAGCAGACAAGATCACTCTGCTGGCTGTTGAATCATAATAATAATAATAATAATAATAATTATTATTATTATTATTATTATTATCATCATTAGCTCATGCACCTTCCAGGCCTGAAGAGGGAGGGAGGGTGGGCAGCCCTGGTCAGGCTCAAGTCCTGAGGAGAAGCATCCAGAAGGGTCAGGCCCTGTGGAAGAGGGTCCACTGAGAAGGCCGGGGGCTTGAGCTGAAGACAGCAAACAGACACCAACAGGCAATGCATTCACACCCCCCCCCCCCTTTTTGAAGGCTCCCAGCCTTTCCTCTCTTGTTACATTTCCCGCTGTTTCCCCAGTTAAAGAACTCCTTTAGTACTGTATTTACTCAAATCTAATGTTCACCTTTTTGGGCCAAATGGGCTTCCCAAAATTCAGGTGCACATTGGATTGGCATAATCCAGGTTTGTTTGTTTTTTTGTCATGTCAAGAGCGACTTGAGAAACTGCAAGTCGCTTCTGGTGTGAGAGAATTGACCGTCTGCAAGAACGCCTGGATGTTTTATCATCCTTGTGGGAGGCTTCTCTCACGTCTCTGACTGCGGAGCTGGAGCTGACAGAGGGAGCTCGTCCGCTCTCTCCCCGGATTCGAGCCTGCGACCTGTCGGTCTTCAGTCCTACCTGCACAGGGGTTTAACCCAATGCACTGCCCTATAATCCAGATGATCCACATGGTCTGCTTTGAGCTGGATTATTGTTTTGTTTGATGAGTTTATTTATTGTTGTAATTGTTATGCTGTTGTTTTATTGATGTGTTGGGCCTCAGCCTCTCAGCCGCACCGAGTCCTTCGGGAGATGTTAGCGGGGTATAAACAAAGGATTATTATTATTATTATTATTATTCAAGGCAGATAACCTGGAAGAGCAGGAGGAGCCTCTTCCTGGTCCCATGATTGACACCCAGCAGGCCCTCCAGACTACAAATCCCAGCACCCTGTGCACCCCATTTCCTCCCCTTCTTGTTGTTCATTCATTCAGTTGCTTCAACTCTTTCGTGACTTCATGCCAGTCACCACCCCCAGCTCCTTCGGGGTCCTCTCCTACATCAAATATACTCATGTGTCCCCTTCATTCAGACCCCCCGACTACAAATCCCAGCACCCTGTGCACTCCATTTCCTCCCCTTATTGTTGTTGTTCATTTGTTCAGTCGCTTCTGACTCTTTGTGATTTCATGCCAGTCACCACCCCCAGCTCCTTCAAGGTCCTCCCTTACATCAAATGTATTCATGCGTCCCCTTCATTCAGCCCCTCCATTCTCCTTCCTTCTCTCCTCGTTCTCTTCCTGGGGTACTCCTCTTTTGGGGGGGCAGCCTTCCTCCCTCCTCCTCCCTTCTTCCCCCTCCTTCTGCTTCATCTTCCTCTTCTCCTTCATTCCTTCCTTCCCTTCCTGTACTTTCTTTCCTTCTTCTCCTTTCTCCTTTCTCCTTCCTTCTTCCTTCTTCTCCTCTTTTCCCTCCTTTTCTCCTTTTTTCCTTTCTCTTTCTTTCCTTCCTCCTTCTTCTCTCCTCTCCCTTCCCCTTCATCTCTCTTCTTTCTCCTTCTTTCTTCTCTTTCCTTCTCCTCCTTCCCTTCTCTTCTTCCCCTCCTCCTCCTTCTTTTCTTTTCTCGTTTTTCTGCTTCTTCTTCTCCCTCTTTTCCTCCTTCTCCACCTTCTCCTTCTTCTTTTCCCTCCTCCTTTTCCTTTCTCCTTCTTCCTTCTCCTCCTTCTCCTTCTTTTCTTTCTTCTCCTTCCTTCTTCTTCTCCCTCTTTTCCTCCTTCTCCTCCGACTCTTCATGACCTCATGGACCAGCCCAGGCCAGTCCCCACCCCCAGCCCCTTCGGCCGTCCCCACCCCCAGCTCCTTCAAGGTCTTCTTCCTACAACATATGCATTCATATGTCCCCTTCATTCAGCCCCTCCATTCTCCCTCCTTCCTTCCCTCGTTACGCCCCTTTGGGGGATTCCTCTTTTTTGGGGGGTACCCTTCCTCCCTCCTTTCTCCCCCCTCCCTCACTTCCGGTGTCCCCCCTCCCCCACTGCGCCCCTCCCCCTCCTTGCCTCCGTCCGGCCCGGCCTCCTTCTCTTCTCTCCTCTCCTCTTCTCTCTCCCTCACCCTCCTTCTCCTTCTTCCTCTCGTTTCCGCCCAGCAAGCCTCCTCCCCATTGGCTGCCAGCGATCAACCAATCAGCGCCCGCCTTTCTCAAGCGCGGCGCCCAATCCGCGCCCTCGCCTGAGACGCCGGAAGGGGCGGGACAAACAGGGAGGGGACGAAACGTCCTGACGTCAGCACGCTCTCCGCCTGCTTGCGTGGGTCGTACCATTAGGAGGCCGAAAAGGGGGGGATTTGGGAGGAAAGGCGAGAGGGAGCCGTTGGGCCGAACCAAGTGGGGCCAAAAGCGCGGGAAGGGCGTGGGCGCCTCAGAAATGGCTGGAAATCGAGGAACAATCACTCCTTTTGAGGGAGAGAAGGCCTCAAGGCCAAAAAGGAGTGGATCTGGCTCTCTAATTTGTAAAATGACAAAATAGCAGTGTTTGTTTGTGAGGGAAACATAGGGAATTAAGTGAGGGAGGCCTCATCTTGGAAGGCAGGCCTGTCTTTTCCTCACCAGAGAGAGAGAGAGAGGCCTCAGCAAGCGAGAGTCCAAAAGTGGCAGGCTCAAACCCAGAACCTCAATCAAGAAGCAGAGTGTAAACTGCGGGCCCCCATTCAATGGCTTGGCTTCTGGGAGCCACACAGGCCTCTGTCTCTCTCTCTGGTGAGGAAAACACAGGCCTGCCTTCCCTGTCATGGAGAATGGAAAGATCAACAACCAGTCGGGGTTGGCTTGACGCCTTCCTCTTGGCACGTTTCTCTCTTTCACCCTCCATTCGTGCCTCTTCAAATTCTACAGCAGTGCTGGTCACAGCTGACCTCCAGCAGGGCTTCCCAGTTCTCAGTGTCTATGCCAGAGTTTTTAAGGTTGGCTTTGAGCCAATTTTTAAATCTCTTTTCCTGCCCACCAACATTCCATTTTCCATTCTTGAGTTCGATGATGAGTAGAGCAACTGCTTTGGGAGACGGTGGTCAGGCATCCAGACAACGTGGCTGAACCAGCGGAGTTGATGGCGGAGGAGCATCGCTTCAGTGCTGGTGGTGGTCTTTGCTTCTTCTTCCAGCACGGAAGCTGATGAGGAAACACAACTTACAAACAATCTACAAACCCACCAAGAAAATCCAACAAATGCTACGTTCAGCAAAGGACAAGAGGGATCCTCTCACCTCTGCAGGAGTCTACCGTGTATCATGCAGCTGTGGACAAGTCTACATAGGGACCACCAAACGCAGCATTGCCCAAACACGAATCAAGGAACTTGAAAGGCACTGCAGACTACTTCAACCAGAGAAGTCAGCCATAGCAGAGCACCTGATGAACCAGCCTGGACACAGCATATTATTTGAGAACACAGAAATGCTGGACCACACCAACAACCACCATGTCAGACTACACAGAGAAGCCATTGAAATCCACAAGCATGTGGATAATTTCAACAGAAAGGAGGAGACCATGAAAATGAACAAAATCTGGCTACCAGTATTAAAAAACTCTAAAATTACAACAGCAAAACAACAGAGAGGAAACAACCAGGCACAGATTAACACCTCCCAGCAAGAGATTTTCCCAGGCTCAGGCAGGCCTTCAAATGCTAATGAAGGTGATCAGTTGAAACATTCACACCTAACTGCAGCAGGGAAGAGCTCCTTGCCCCACCCCAGCCATTCCACAGATATATAAACCCATTGTCCTAATTCCAACAGACCTCACTACCTCTGAGGATGCTTGCCATAGATGCAGGCGAAACGTCAGGAGAGAATGCCTCTAGAACATGGCCATATAGCCCGTAAAAACCTACAACAACCCAGTGATTCCGTGAAAGCCTTGGACAATACAAGAATGTATTTTTTTACTTCAATAAGTAGTAGAGCGACTGCTTTGGGAGACGGTGGTCAGGCATCCAGACAACGTGGCTTGTCCAGCAGAGTTGATGGTGGAGACCATTGCTTCAATGCTGGTGGTCTTTGCTTCTTCCAGCACGCTGACGTTTGTCCGCTTGTCTTCCCAAGAGATTTGCAGGATTTTCCGGAGGCAGCGCTGATGGAATCGTTCCAGGAGTTGCATGTGACGTCTGTAGACAGTCCACGTTTCGCAGGCATATAGCAGGGTTGGGAGGGGAATAGCTTTATAAACAAGCACCTTGGTATCCCTACGGATGTCCCGGTCCTCAAACACTCTCTGCTTCATTGGAAAAATGCTGCACTCGCAGAGCTCAGGCGGTTGTATTTCAGTGTCAATGTTGACTTTTGTGGAGAGGTGGCTACCAACATTTTCTAATGTTATACCATTAAGCTGTATCGCTGGCATTGGAAAGGGATTGGCTGGTGACTGCTGGAACAGCACTTTGGTTTTCTCGATGTTCAATGACAGGCCGAGCTTCTCGTATGCTTCTGCGAAGGTGTTTAGAGTGGCTTGTAGATCTTCTTCTGAATGCGCATAGACGACATTGTCATCAGCATACTGGTGTTTGTAACCTTGGTTTTGGCTTTCAGTCTGCTGAGGTTAAACAGCTTGCCATCTGTCTGATAGATGATTTCCACTCCACTGGGAAGCTTCCCATCAACAAGGTGAAGTATCATAACGATGAAGATGGAGAATAAAGTTGGGGCAATAACACATCCCTGTTTGACACCTATGTTGTGTAACATCTACATGAAGGCATTTGGGGAGATCATCCGGAGTTTCGGGGTGCGATGTCATCTGTACGCAGATGATGTCCAACTCTGTCACTCCTTCCCACCTGTTACTAAGGAGGCTGTCCAGACCTTGAACCGGTGCTTGGCCGCTGTGACGGTCTGGATGAGGGTGAACAAATTGAAACTGAATCCAGACAAGACAGAGGTCCTCCTGGTCAGTTGCAAGGCCGAACAGGGCATAGGGTTACAGCCTGTGCTTGACGGGGTTACACTCCCCCTGAAGACGCAGGTTCGCAGTTTGGGTATGATCCTGGATTCATTGCTGAACCTGGAACCCCAGGTCACACAATTCAAACTTGCATGCCAACTGCACCCGTACCTTGGGAGTCTGACTGGCCACGGTGGTCCATGCTCTGGTTACATCCTGAATAGACTACTGCAACGCACTCTACGTGGGGTTGCCTCTGAAGACTGCTCGGAAGCTTCAGCTAGTCCAACGTTCAGCAGCCAGGTTGCTCACGGGAGTCGGGTACAGGGTGCGGACAACTCCCTTGCTACACCAGCTCCACTGGCTGCCTTTCATCTACCAGACAAATTAACATTGGGTGTTGTAGGTTTTTTCGGGCTATATGGCCATGGTCTAGAGGCATTCTCTCCTGGCATTTGGCCTGCATCTACGGCAAGCATCCTCAGAGGTAGTGAGGTGTCTTGGAACTAGGAAAATGGGTTTATATATCTGTGGAATGACCAGGGTGGGAGCTAGGTGTGGATGTTTCAACTGACCCCCTTGTTTAGCATTTGATGGACTGGCGGTTTTTTTGGTGTGGATTGTTAGTGCCTGGGGGAATTTTTTGTTGAGAGGTTATTAGCTGTCCCAGATTGTTTCCTCTCTGTTGTTTTGCTGTTGTAATTTTAGAGTTTTTTAATACTGGTAGCCAGATTTTGTTCATTTTCATGGTTTCCTCCTTTCTGTTGAAATTGTCCACATGCTTGTGGATTTCAATGGCTTCTCTGTGTAGTCTGACATGGTGGTTGTGAGAGTGGTCCAGCACTTCTGCGTTCTCAAATAATATGCTGTGTCCAGGTTGGTTCATCAGGTGCTCTGCTATGGCTGATTTCTCTGGTTGAAGTAGTCTGCAGTGCCTTTCATGTCCCTTGATTCGTGTTTCCACAAGAGTAAAGACAAAAGATCCACCCAGAGGAAAAGTGTTCTTGCCATACATCAAGGGAACCACTGACCGCATAGGGAAGCTGATGAGGAAACACAACATACAAACTATCTACAGACCCACCAAGAAAATCCAACAAATGCTACATTCAACAAAGGACAAGAGGGATCCTCTCACTTCTGCAGGAGTCTACCGTACCATGCAGCTGTGGACAAGTCTACATAGAGACCACCAAATGCAGCATTGCCCAAACACGAATCAAGGAACATGAAAGGCACTGCAGACTACTTCAACCAGAGAAGTCAGCCATAGCAGAGCACCTGATGAACCAGCCTGGACACAGCATATTATTTGAGAACGCAGAAATGCTGGACCACACCAACAACCACCATGTCAGACTACACAGAGAAGCCATTGAAATCCACAAGCATGTGGACAATTTCAACAGAAAGGAAGAAACCATGAAAATGACAAAATCTGGCTACCAAAAAAAAACTCTAAAATTACAACAGCAAAACAATAGAGAGGAAACAATCAGGGAAGCTGATCACCTCTCAACAAAAGATTCCCGCAGGTACTACCAAGCCACACCAAACAACTGCCAGGCCATCAAATGCTAATCAAGGTGGTCAGTTGAAACATTCACACTTAGCTTCAGCAGACAAGAGTCCTTTGTCCCACTATGGTTTTCCACAGATATATAAACCCATTTCCTAGTTCCAACAGACCTCACTACCTCTGAGGATGCTTGCCATAGATGCAGGCGAAACGTCAGGAGAGAATGCCTCTAGACCATGGCCATATAGCCCGAAAAAACCTACAACAACCCAGTGATTCTGGCCATGAAAGCCTTGGCAATACAATTTAAAATGCTGGCTTTGGCCTATAAAGCCCTTAACGGTTCTGGCCCAGTTTACCTGTCCAAATGTATTCTCCCTTACAAACCATCAATGGCATTAAGATCTTCCGGAGAGGTCCTGCTCTTAGTCCCGCCACTTTCACAGTCGCGTTTGGTGGGGACAAGAGACAGGGCCTTCTCTGTGGTGGAACTCTCTCCTGAAGAAAGTTAGATCTTCCCCTCCTTCCTGACCTTTAGGAAGCAAGGGAAATCCTGGCTATGGAATGAGGCATTTGCAGAGTGATGGCTGAGACCGGTAAATGACTAAAGTGATTGAATACAATGTGTGGACTGAGTTGGACAATGTTTTTTATCTTGGCGAATGGTTTTATATGTATTTTATCTTATATGTATTTTTAACCTATTGTTTATGCATGATGTTTTAAAAGCTATTATTG